GGCCCGGGGGCTAACCCCCGCGGGAGAGGGGGGGGGGGGGGGATCGGGGGCTGTACCCCCCCTGGATCTGGGCAAAGGACCACCCTGGGGGTGCTGGGGATGGAGCCTCTGGGCCCCTGGCCCTTGTGGCGTTGGGGAATGGGGACTGCAGGATCCCCCTGTGATTCCGGCTCTGCCCAAAATCCTGGGGTGGGTGAAGCCTGAACCCCCGGAGGTTTTGGGGTCTCCTTCATCGCCATCCTTCCCGCAGGGTCCCGCAGGTGAGAGGGGAGAGCAAGGAGCCCCCGGTCCCTCTGGCTTCCAGGTAAGCACACGGAATGGGGTGGCTTGGGGTGCCAGGCTTGGGGTGATGCTCGCGGGTGACCCCGAGCCCCCGTCCCCGGGGGTCTCACTGCTGCCGTGCTAATGCTGCTGCTTTCCCCTCCCAGGGCCTGCCTGGGCCACCAGGCCCCCCTGGAGAGAGCGGCAAACCCGGAGATCAGGTGAGGCCCCCGTTTTTCCCTCCTCCCCTGGCTGCAAAGGGGGGGTCAGGACCCCCAGCAGCCCCCAAGACCGACCCCTGACTCTTTTTCCCCCTGCCGCAGGGTGTTCCCGGAGAAGCTGGTGCCCCCGGTCTCGTCGGTCCCAGAGTAAGCATCACCGTCCTCCAGCTGTGGGGACAGAATGCCTCTCCCTGTCCCATGGGGGATTTTGGGGGGCTCGAGGGTGTCAGTGGAGCCTGGCCGCCCCCACCCAGGGTCATTGGCTCCCCGAGTCCCAGTGGCTCAGCTTCCGCTGCAGCCCGTCCCCTCTCCTCCCAGTACCTCCCAGTCCCTTCGGGGCAGTGTGGGATGGACGCTCTGCCCTCTGTCCCTTGGGGACATCCGTGCAAAGGGCACCGTGACCCTCACCGTGGCCCCATGGCCTCTTCCTAATGCCGTCCCCTCCCACCCCAGGGCGAACGCGGCTTCCCCGGTGAACGTGGCTCCCCCGGCGCGCAAGGGCTGCAAGGTCCCCGTGGGCTCCCTGGCACACCAGGCACCGACGGACCCAAGGTGGGTGACAAGGCAGGACCAGGGCTCAGTGCCTCTGGTGGAGCCATGAGGCTGGGGGTCTGCACATGGGGGCGTTGGGCACCCCAATAACTGCACCTTCGCTCTGCTTTAGGGTGCAACCGGACCCGCTGGCCCCAACGGCGCCCAGGGTCCCCCGGGGCTGCAGGGAATGCCTGGCGAGAGAGGAGCAGCCGGCATCGCCGGTCCCAAGGGAGATCGGGTGAGTGAGGGGTCCCGGAGGTGTCCTGAGTTGTGTAAGGTCTCAGCTCAGCTCACGCCACCTCTCTCTTGCCCTACAGGGAGATGTTGGAGAGAAGGGCCCTGAGGGAGCCCCCGGAAAGGACGGAGCACGCGTAAGTGGGATGGGGAGGCAGCGGGAGCGGGGTGGCTGGCGAGGGATGCTCGGGGCAGCCTCATCCTTATCTGTCTCTCCTCTGTAGGGTCTGACAGGTCCCATCGGTCCCCCCGGCCCTGCTGGCCCCAACGGCGAGAAGGTGAGAGCCCGGACAGCCCCTCGGCTCCTCCCGACCAAGGGAGATGCCATCCCCCTCCCCCCAACTCTCCAACCTTTCTTTCCCAGGGTGAATCCGGTCCTCCTGGTCCATCCGGTGCTGCCGGTGCCCGCGGTGCCCCCGTAAGTGCCATCCCCCACAGCCCCCCAAGGT